CCGCTGTAAGGCTCTTGACGGGTCTCAAGCTGCGTCAAAAGGACGCCGAGAGCGTAAACTTCCGATTCCTTCGACGTACGTTGGCCGCAGATCACCTCGGGAGCCATCCAGTACGTCGAGGTATTGCCGTTGGTTGTTGAGATGTCGTCTTGTCGCTCGAAGCCAAAGTCGCTGAGCACCGCGTTGTTGTTGGCATCAACGAGGACGTTGGTTGGGACGAGGTGTCCGTGGACGACGTCGGCAGCATGCAGATAGGCGAGTGCTTCCGCAATTTTCATGGCGACCTTGAGAGCTTCGTCAAACGTAAGGCCGTCTTGTCGGAGCCACGTGCGGAGGTTGTGTTGCATCTCAGCCATGACAAGCGCGGGTGCCGATGTCACGCCGAGTAGCGGGACCGTGTGTGCCGACTGCAGCTTTGCCATGCGCTGAACTGCGTCGTTGAATTTAGTCGGCGACAAACTCGAATACACCTTCAGAATGACGGAATCCCCCTTGTACGTCGCGCGTTGAACGATACCGGTTGTGCTTGAGGCCACCAGCAGCCCCCCGAGAGATCAGAGGCAGCAATGAGAGGCAGAGGCGGCTGCAAATGCGCTTTAAGCATGCCTACAACTTGTGCGGCGGTCGGGCGCTGGCTCGGATCAGCGTGCATGCAAGCAGACGCAAGATCCCGGTACCACCCGGGGCACGTCGACGGCATCCAAGGGCGGAGGCCGTGATGAGCGACATTGTGGGGGATCAACCCCACGGAACCGGCATAGGGGTTTTCCTGCAGCGTGTAGAGCTGCGTCAAGATGACGCCAAGTGCAAAGATATCGGCCGCGATCCCGTAATTTCTGCTGCGGATCACTTCAGGGGCCATCCAAAAGTCCGTGCCGACACCGCTGGTCATCGAGTGGACGTTTTCTTGGCGGGAAATACCAAAGTCGCCAATTTTGACCACCAATTTGTCTGCGCTGAGGAGGACGTTCTTTGGTTTGAGATCGCGGTGGACAATTTTATGCACGTCATGGAGGTACTCAAGGCCCAGGCAACTTTGTTGTGCACGTAGCGCGCGTGCTTTGACCGCACTGTCTCGTTTGCGTAGCTGAGGACCACAAAGGCGCGCTGGACCACTTTTCCCACCTGGTCTCTCCAAAGATTGCGCGCCTGGTGGACTCGGATAGATACGCGCATCGTAAAGTAAAATGAAAAGTGAGATTCCAGCGTTCTGCGTCCATTTGTTGCTGATTGTCAACTTGATATTGTCTCTGAGACACTATCAAGCCTCATCAAGTTTGACGCCAGAGACCACTGGCCAGAGACAGTCTCTAGGGAGCAACCGGGAAACATGATAAACGTCGCCAGCTGCAGGCTGGTGCTATTACTTTAGTATTTGTTGGTCATTCTAGAGACTTATGCGGTACTATAATAATATACTATTCTGATCTGACAACATGCCAGGCCTTGTAGCGAATGTCTTCATTCTTATTTCTACGACTAAGTGCCACGCAAACACACACACCACGTTGTTGATCTTTTCTATCGGAATGCGTTCAAACATGAACTCTAGTCTTATCCGTACCGATACTTGCACGTTACGTGATACTATCAAGGTCTTAAATATCCGGATGTTTAGGACCTTGATATTATCAAATTCAATCTATTTCAGGTGTTATGTTGTCGTCACCGACTCGCACGTTTGGTGCGACGTCAATCCGATTCAGATTTCAATTTGCAGTCTTTCGATCAAGCATGATAATGATTCGAGTGCCCATGGGCAAGGGCCTTCGACGCCCCGATGCCCAGCGCTCCATCACGCACCCTTGCATCACCATCAACTACGCCGGCCATGCGACCAAGTCGACTGTCTTTGGGTTCGAAAACGACCAAGTATGGTGGAACGTCGAGCTAAGCGCCAACGACGTCGACGTTTCGCATCACCCCATGATCAAGCTCTGCGTCCACGACGAGCAAGCGCAAGGGTCCAGCGCCGTCTTTATCGG